ATATATAGTATATATATACTATTATAACATATATTATAATTTATTATAATATTATTATAATAAATATTATAATAATAAATAAATAAAATAATTTTTATATTATTCATAACTATATAATTTATAATAATGAATAAATAACATAATTATATAATTTATATAATAATAAATAAGTAAAATAGTTATATAATTTATATAATAAAAAATAAGTAAATTAATTATATAATTTATATAATAATAAATTTATAAAATAATTAAAACAAACAATAAAATAATATTATTAATATATATTATAATTTATTTATTATAATATTATTATAATAAATAAATTAATTATAATCTATGAAACATATGATTTTTCAACGTGCCAGTCAAAGGGTTTAATCAAATTGTTCAAAAATTCATATGATAATAATTTAGCATTGCAAAAATCTTTTAATTTGCCATACTGAACAACAAAACTTGCAAAAAATTAAAAAAAAAAAAAAAACTCTCAACCTAATTTCCATTTAATTAATTAAAAATTCGTCTTTTTTCATTTTATCAAACTATCAATGATTCAAATCAAAACCTATAAATATTTGAAAAGTTTCAATCGTTACAAAAAAAAAAGACCAAATTGTTTAACCATACAATAAAAACAAACACACACCAACACAATTGCAACTTATTATCATCAGAAAAACCAAATTATTTAATCATACAAACACACACAAACACAATACACCAACACAATTACAATCTATTATCATCGGAAAGAACGATAATTTCAAAAATTGTTCCTCAAAAATTCTAAAAACATTTTATGACAATTTCATGAATCATTTTTGATATTACTTTTTTCTCTTTTCTATTTTTCATTACCACCCACCCCCCCTTTCACTCCTCCTCCCATTGGTAGAAAATTACCCATTCAATTCTTAACGAATTCTTCTTTAGTTGAAGAAACAAAAAAAAAAACAAACAAAAAAAAAAGAAAAAAATCAAAGAACCCATCTGAAATTTATTTTTCGTCGAAAATTCTATTCGATTAACCAGTCCTATCTCCTCCCCCCTCTCCACCCCCTCTCCTCCCCCGACTGATTCCACATCTCTCTCTTTCTCTCTTTCAAACTATATTCAAACTTCAATGCTACCTTGTCTCGTTATATCACAGTTTATTCTCGCCTAATTTGACAGGCATCGTGATGAAACTGAATAATAAAAAAGCCGATGGTTATTTTGAGTCATCTTTTATAGGAGATGGCAATTATTATACTTCTCTTTCTCTCTCTCTCTCTCTCTCTCTTTCTTTCTCTTTCTTTTATTCTTTATTACTTTCTTTCTTTCTTTCTTTCTTTATCTATTATTCTCATTTCACTCGTTACCAACCTCGAATAACCAACCGTTTCCAGTTTCATATTTAATTTCAAACACTGCTACTACCATTTCTCTCTTTCTTTCTTTCTTATTCTCATTATTCCCCCACTCTTCCTGCTTCTCCCCCCCACCCCACCTCTTTTTTTTATCCCCCACCCTTTTCTTTACTTTTCTCTTATAGAAATTTTCTTCTTCTATTTTTTTGTTTTTATTTCTTTTCTTTTTCTTTAACAGAAGACCTCGAGAAACTCTGAACGCGTTCACTCTTGCTAACCACCGGAAATTATTCATAAACGCAAAAATCCTCTGCCAAGTTGAGAAGTTGAGGGTAAGGTGAGGGTTGGGGTTGGTTAAACGGAGGAGGGAGGGAGGGGAGAGGTTAGACAAATTTATGGAAATACTTTAATCGTCGTGCACGTTTATGTTTCGAGCTAAGATTTAATCTATTTGAAAAATATAAAAAGAGAGACTTGTTTTTTGTTGCATTGGATTGATATAATATGACATGTTGTTTTGTTTAAAAAAAAAAAAAAAAAAGAAAGAAAAAAAAAAGGGTCTTTTAATATTTTATTTTGAATTTTTTTATTCAATTAATGTATTAATTTTATTATGAATGTATTATTATTATTTCATATATTTATATATAATTAATTTATTATATAATAATTATAAATAATTAATAATATAATATTTATATATTTTATATATTTTTTTTTATATATTTTATATTACTATTATATATATATATATATAAAATATTACATATTAAAATGTAAATATATTATTATTATTATTAAATAAATATAAATATATAATAAATATATTAAATATATTAAATAATAAATATAATTTAAAAATATTGATTAATTAAATATAATTTAAATTAATTTAAATAAATATATTAAATATATATTGAACATTGAAACGCGTGTAGGCATCTTAACACAATTAACCACCCACCCACCCACTTATACACACATA